TTTTAGAATGTGTTTAAAGTTGATGTAACTTCATGTTTTGTGCATGTATTGTGGACATTAGAGTTTATATGACATAGGAATATTTCGCAAAATTGTATACTGTAATTTTAATTTAAACTGGTGTCTGTATAGAGATTTGGAGAAAAGTAGGCATTGCACGTTGCGCTCATTATTAAAAAGGGGACGCTTATATGTTTCTCAAATTACTGTGTTTCGGTACTGAACTTTGAGGTCAGGAATGGCTTGCTGAGTGACTATTATCTTCTCGCGGAGGATTCTGGCCCAAGCAGTTAATTAATATTAAATCAGAAGGAAGGCGGACAGATAGACAAAGCTTGTTAACTCGGTTCCGGAGAAGAAATTATGTAAATTCTGAACCATGAAAGTCGACCTGACATAATTCTAAGCTGTTCTCAGTCTAACAGGATAGTTGTTTCAAATGTCCGGTGACACCCATTGCGTGTCTCTGGTTTAAAAGCTTCTATTCTAGGTCTAAGTATAAGAACCAATCCTTGAACATCCGTTAAGTAATATCAGAAAAAATCGACCTAATGTGAGGACAAGAACAACCAGTTTAGAGAGTTACTTTACAGGCGTTCTTATTTCGTTACAACTCGTGTCTGCTTGTTGTACGCTTATATCCTGTCAACGTGTTTCGAGACTGACTTTCGCTTTGACATTTGTGTGTCTCGATTCCTTGCATTTCGTATAGGCTAAATATACAATTATTATCGTCTTAGCTCTCTTCTTCTGTAGACACTGCAGGGAACAAACGTTACATTTGCAACTCAAGCATTTTGAATTAGTATAATTGTGGTGAGTGATGGAATGTCCATAACCTGACTTTACAACTTAAAAATTGTTGCTTAATTTTACTTATAACTCAGTCAGTATAGTGACTAGCTACGGGCTGGACGACCGGGGTTCGATCCCCGACGGGGGCAGAGGATTTTTCTTCTAGCCTCTGCGTCCAGACCGGCTCTGGGGCCCACCCAGCCTCCTCTACAATGGGTACCGGGGTCCTTTCCCGGGGGTAAAGCCGGCCGGGGCGTGATGCTGACCACTCACCCCCATCTAGTGCCGAGGTCAAGGAGGAGAGGAACTATACCTCCTCTCACCCCAAACGCCTACATGGCGTATAGTGGGACAGCTTTACTTTACTTACGTCTGTCCTCCACCATTTCAGTGCTTTGCAAAGTAGGACGGGGTGAATGGAGTAGATTCCCGGGACCAAAGTAAGTCTATAAATTAAATAAAGTCGTCACAGAATCTTATCAATGTGAAGCGGACAAGTCCGAACTATGTTTGTGCTTGTTCGTCGTCTGAAAGTGACCATGTCGTACAATATTCCCTTTCACAATATTTTGGTTCTGTGACTTAACTGTGGTGGTAGTGGGCGCAGGTGATTGAACTTCCCTAAGCCGCCAAAACGTCTAATCCCTCCTCTCGTGTTTGGTGTAATGGTCATACTTGGATCTCTAGTGTAGGGGGGTGTTTTACAGCCCTATGGATGCAGGATTTTAAATTTTGTGTTTTGAGAACTTTTGCTTATCGATAAATACACCTGAACAGCGTAGACAGCCAATGAAAGCTGCGACGTAGAGCTCATATTCCAGTTTTCCTCAGTCCCTCGAAACAAATGCAGTGATAATAACTCAGATTATACCTCTACCGTTTCCTTCCCATATCCTTTCAAATTTATTCATTAATAATCAAGTCACTGACAGCGTCATTAAACCACAACACAGACTCGAAACGAGGATGAACTAATAAATAAGTAAACGACATCACAGTTTTAAGTACTGTTAGATTTCAATGTATTACGAGCTCTTTGCACAAAGTGTGTTAAAGGAACGCATGAACAGGAGATGTCTGCTAATTCTCATGTTCAACAAATTTCGGTTAAATTTTGTATCTGAGGTCTACACTAAAAGTTGTTGAACTATCTAATTTAGCCGGCGTGCCATACCGTACTCTACTTTACTGTAAGTCCAGGTTGAACTTACTGATTTTCTCATAAACGGCACTTATTGAAGAACATCGACACGTTACATGAAACACGCACATTTAGTCCTTCAAGTTTTGATTACATTTTTAGATTGACATGTAACTTATACGAGGGAAATATAAACTGCGATACTGCGGTGTTGTGTTGGTATTTGTAGCGCGATTGGCTGTCACCGGTAGATATGCGTCTGCAATAAATGCACATCAAGGAAAATGTGGAAAATTGGTGTAAAATAAGGGACAAAAGATTGCAGTAGTGTGTTGGCACATATGCCCTTTTCCTCAACTTCCTGTGGTTTTGTGTTTGTCACATGCTTTAGTTCCGGAACAGCACTGCAAGTGACCGCGATGGACTGCATCATGAGCGGATACCTATTTCTGACCTCATTTTTATCTTATCCGTTTCAGCACAGCGCGTAATTAATGTTCCACTAAAATAGTTGTTTAATGTTCCCTTGTTCGGAGTTTTATTAATGAACTGAGTGCATTTCTAAGGTCCGTCTGCCCTTTCAAGTACAAGCATAGCGTTGTAGACACTAAGTGACCGATTTTCGTGAATCTTGGTTTAAACATCATCCTACTATATTCTCTTTATCGAACTGTGAATAATACCAACATGGCCGCGGTGCGAACTTGTGATATGGCAATGTTGCGGAATTTTCTAGAAACGTAGGTGAGTTTTTTTAATGTTATTTCACACTTCATATGTTTTATTGTGAAACGTGAGGTAAATGTGAGCGGATTATTATAGTCTAAATCAGCGGTATTCAACCTTTTTTTGTTCGCGTACCCCCAGATGTAATTTCTCTTCAATTTTGTACCCCCGAAGTTGTTGGTGTATAATTCAAGTTATACATAGTATATAATCTACATTTAAAATAAATTAAATAAATTACATTACTGATTATTCAGTGTTTATCATAAAATAATATATATTTTTTTAAAATTTCACGTACCCCCTAAGATGTCTTCGCGTACCCCCGGAGGTACGCGTATCCCAGGTTCAATACTCCTGGTCTAAATGATCACGGAAGAATCTTGTGATGATGGGATCTGAAATAAATTCATTTTTAAAAATGTTCCACCGATTTACGAAATGAGTAACGCTATTAGGCCTACTGTTTTTGACACGTGTCTGTGTGCGTTTATCAAGCGTCTAAATAAATCTTGAAAACGAACATCCGGATTGCAGTGTTCAGAGATTTCGGATGTCCGTGTGATCCCCATGTCTTGACTCCACATCCGTGTAGGTCAGCTTCGAGAGTAAGGCTGAAGGCTGTGTTATGTGGGAGACTTCGCCCCTTTACAGCCACTCAAACTGTTATCTTGCCGACGCCCTATTTACAATCGGAGCTTGGTATTATTTATTTAAAACGCGGATAAATGTCAAACATCACTCTGTTAGATGTTTCCTTGATTTGCTCATTTCTAAGTAATTCTTCGATACGTTATTCATTAATCGAATAGTACTTTAGTACTTCTGAAATTCCGGTTTTAAAAGCATCTAATTTATACCCTCTGCTTTATGTGCTGAGTTCGCTTTAGGAAAGAAATAGCTTCTTTTTCTGTGTAAAATATCTGTGCTAGCTGACGTTATTTACATAACAGGGAACCATAATTTGCCTTGAATTAATTTGAGTCATGAGTAGACATCAGGATAGATTTTCACTTGTTATAAAATGCAAAAATTGTGGCCAGTGTTTCTTAAGGAGATATTTCGTTCACAGCGTGTAAAGTGTTGACATTTAATTTTTTTATGTTTGGATAAAGACAGTTATTGACTCAGTCGTCTGAAAGTAATGGGGGACAAACTAAACTTTCAATTCTGGTACTTTTGTTAGTTGGACCCGAATCTAAACCTTCAGAATGCGAAACTGTCTCTCTGGTCGAACTTTCTCTGTGGTATTTAACTTTTCACCTGCGTATGTTACATTGCTTCGAATGGCTGGATGACAGCGAATAATGGTTTAAGAAGAACCCATAAAAATCCGTTGTGATGTGAGTGAGGAGTATCAGTGAGGATAGCCGGTTTTGGCCCCCCCCCCCCCCCCGGGAATTTTGCCTTAGGAACTCTGCAACAAAGAACAAATGGTAACGCTGACGTAGACTGCACCGTGTGGAATATGGCACAAGGTTAGGCCTGGTACATGTGATGGTAATAAAAATGACAAGATTGATAAGATATACTCGTTGGAGTACATTGACATTCCTGAGGTGCTCTGGCCGTCGTTGTTGCACTAATGTGATCCAGGTTGCCTACCCTGGTAAGAAATACGCGACAGACAGGTATGGACGGTCTCTTCGCTCCAGCTAGAGCGTTAAGAATAACTTAAAATGGCGCCTTTTAGTGATGTAACATCAGTGTCGGTATGTAGTGTTAACGGGAGCCTTTTGTACGTACTGATTGGAGGAGTGAGGATGATGATACATTCTGGAAGGTTACATGTTCAGTTACCGGCAACGTCTTCGTATCTCGGTCTTTATATCTGCTCAGTGGAGACGATTCCACGGTTTTACTCATCTCTCAAAGCAGATGCTGTGATAGTAACTTAAAGTAGGCCAGCCGCTTCTTACCACATATCATTTCCTCACGCATAATCATCCTTTCACTCCTGTGTGGCCAATGAAGCGTCTTAAACCAAGAAACAAATGAGTCGGACAAGAAAGGAGTCCCCGTGACCCGCAATGCAGGCCGCTGTTCTTGTGGTCGACAACACGATTTGATGCCGTGGTAAGTAAATGAGAGCTGAGATGCGTTTGACGATTAGAACCCGGTCTCAATATTATGTTCGAAGACCTTCAGACCCGGAAGTAGCGTCACGAATCAGCTGTCTGCGCTAATTCAGGTCAGCGGCCTGACTGGCTGAACTGGCCTGCAGGTGGCAATTCCGTCTCCCGGATCCTCAGTAAGTTCTGATTGGTTGCTGTGCTGTGACGTCTCACTCTGTCGGCGGTTCGTCGGTTTATCGTGGCTCACACGTCTGTGGCGTGTGTAGTTCTTCATTACACTTCGCAGTGATATGACGGTGGCCGAGGAGGTGTGGAAAAGTTGGATTTCAAAATGGATCTGCGTTGTGTGTGATGTCAGTGCGTGTTCTTGTCTTTGAAGCGAATCACGTTTTGTTTCACGTTTGACAGCTTTGCGCCAGTTCCGTTGTTTTACAATTTTAACAGGCCCGAAATATTTCTGAGTGAAATTTGTCCTTGATGTGTAGACCGCGTTGCTGCTGAAGATTCAAGTGCTTTTTAAACTGTACTTGTGTGACGGTTTTTTTCTTCTAGCTGGTTTCCTAGAGATGTATGAATGTTATTGACACTTCGACCTTTTATAACACGTGGAAAATCGTATGTTGAAGTGGTAGCTGCCTCGTTTAATCACCTGTACCAGGAAAGTGTGTCACTTATTTTTAGAGTTCTTAAAGTGTCGAAGGCGTGTTAATGCCAGATGTTAATCTAGTGTTGTGAAAGTGGCATATCTGACAAAACAGGTGGACATAATTGCCCGTCTTCCATCATCTAGAGGCGAGGTCTTCCAAATGGTGGTGGTGTTGAGCCAGTGTTCCAAAGACAGGGACACCATCTCTCCGATCTTGGTGCGTTGTTTTCTTTTGTTATTAATTTTGTCAGTGTTTGGCTTTTCTTTAACGTCGTGTTATTTTCTGCAAAGTAGGTAGGCCTGCCCGCGGCTTTCGGAGTGGTGGTGTGAAATTCAAAGAATTTGTATCCATATTTAGTCTTGATTATTTACAGTTATTATGTGTTTTTATAGAATGACTAAAATATCACACCAGAAGTTACTTTATCCCGCGTAAGAATTCAAATAGCTATTGAAATAATCTAATTAATGGATAATATTTTTTTTTTACAATTATACCGGAACCAGAAATGTCTCCACAATTTTCTTAGGAGATGTCTCAGTGTCTAGAATTTAATATTAGGGGGTGTTTTGTAAAATGAACACCCATAACTTTATTTTATGGGGTGTTTACAAAATGAGTACCCAGAATTTCATATTGGGGATGTTTTACAAAATCAGTATTCATAATTTTTTTAAAAAAATTTGTTTTACAAAGTCAGTATCCATAATTTCATTCTTGACAGTGTTTGCAGTATCAGTAATACAACTTTTACAAAATTGAGCTGTTATCGTTGGCAATGACCGGATGTACTGAACGTTTGGTTGGTTGGTTATTACTTCGGATTCTTATTCGGGAGGTCCTGGGTCCAGGTCTCTTCCCCGAGAATGGCTGATGGCCCTCCAGGCAAATGCTGGGTTAGTACCTTAAACAGGCCACGACCTTGTTCCACATTCTTTCCATTGCATGTACGATCATCTGCGCTATGCAGTATAATCTCTGCAGTTTAAAAGTGCGTCGAAATAACTCAAGAATAAATGTAAGTCTTGTTAAGAAAATAGACACCGTGTTTCATGTCTGCCCAAGCATTTCAAGGACCCAAGATTGAAATCCTAATCGTCTTGATACGAATCTGAGCCGTAAATTGTTTGCATTTATTGAGAATTATTGGAACAAAAAAATTGAATTTGATGTTTGTATTGGGGACTTTTACTTCAGCTTTGATGTTCAGACTACTTTCCCGTTGGTAAGTGCAATGACCGAGGAAAATCATAGTCTTGCTACGAAGTGTCAGAATTACGGTTGTGGCTGATTTCGTTGTTGTGACGTGTGGCGTTGCTGTTGGTAGTGACGCCATTTCGTTCTTCTCTTGCGGATGTCCTGGCGGCGCGATAGGAGGGAGCCACGTTCATGTGTCATATGCTTGAAAGCCTGGTTACAATCTTTAGAATAGTCGATTTTATCTCGTCTGTTACACAAGTTGAAATGCAGCTTGCTGTTTGACGTCAGGTAGCACAACAGAAAGTTGCTTAAATTCCTTGAATTTAACAATTAGTATATGGAAGATTCAGTCTGAATTCTCGGAACAGATTGTGTGGACACGTTTTTTAAAAAGAAAGGAAGTAACGTTTTACTCGTTGCGAACAAGAGTTCGGAGAAAACGGGGTAAATTTGCATTTGTCCATGGGAGACTTGGAAGAAGTTCGAGAGTCTTTCTTGAGCGGGTTATTTGAAGCAGGGCGTCATGTGCGGAATTTAAGCCTCAGGTTCGAAAGCGATTCCCAGTAATAATTCTTGCTGCGAAAGAATGTTGCTTATTTCTTGGTCCTCTCAACTTAATAGTTTGTGTAGCGTCGAATGGAAGGACGATTGTGGACAACGAATATTGAAGGATGTGAAAGGGAGTGGTCTTGGTCTATTTAAGGCTTTCACCGGGATGTTCTTTTGTTAAATCTTATGTGGTACCGCCTGATTCGACTTCTAATGGTTAAGTGAAGTGTTTTCTTCGCGGTACGGACTGAATTCATAAATAATATTAAGACGATCTTCGGCTTCAAAGGGTTAATGCAGGCCTAGTATCTCATCATTCGCCTAGAACACGAAATCCTTACGAAGGGCGGCTGACCCTGGGCCGAAAATGAAATTTGGGACCTTCCATATACGAAGCAGGACGTGCAAGAGTTAGAAGTTAGAAGTTTGCCTCGTTGTTTACTTAGATGTAATGTGTTCTGGCTCTACCAGTTGGAATTAGTTTTGATCTTCGTTATATCCAATCTGTTAAGAAGAATGAGATTGGCAGGGCATTGTGCATTCATGGGGAATAGTATATACCGGCAGAATTTGATTTTAAGGCACGTTTTACGATCCTGTTCTTTCAGTGACTCTATTCCAGAACGCCTGCTAGTTTCTTGTGATATTTGATGGCCAATTACTGCTGGCTCGTCAGACTCTTTTACCGACTGGAAACCCGGTCCTTTGCTGAACACAGTTTGGAAAAGTCTCAGTTGTTTCTTACACATCATATTTTGAAAATATGGAATTTTACCTCGTTGCTACTAAGAGGGGAGGTTATGAAAACTTTTAAAGTCGTTTCTTCTTGGAGGTGTAGCAGTTTCAGATGTGTTTTATAGTTCTGTACAGATGATTTCAGTAATGGCGGCTTTACAAGGAAGCGGGCGAGGTTAACGAGAGGAACATTTTAAGCCTGTGCTACTGTGGTGTGACCTGCACAACCAGTTTTTACACCCGCTTTTAAATATCGGCGATTGGCGGATTCCGTGCCAGGGTCATCGCATTGAAATCTGGTTATTATTGCAGTGAATTAAATGAAACTGCAGTCACACTCCAGGAAAGTCGATCTGCCCTGTATAAAGGTCCCCGTTGTTTAACAACACACTGTTATTACCAATATGGTAGCGTATATGTATCATTTAGGGTTTTGATATAGACCGAGTAATGTTATTTGAAATCTTATCCGTATGAAATCACCAATGCCTGATAAGTACGTAGTTTACATTATCTCCGACATGTGGTACATTTTCTGTACTGTGCAGTTTCTTGTGCCTAATTTAATGTATTACTTAAAATTAAATTAGTCATTGCAATCAGTGTAACGTTTTAAATGTAACGTGTTATTAGGTTTCGAGTTTATTTTGTCACTGTATGTACTTTACGTAATACTCTACTCTGAAGATATTAGACCAGTGATCTCTGTCTAGTGACGTTAGATATGGAATGTGGTCGAATACATTTGGTCAGGTCTGAAGGAAAATATATGAGAGGTGTCTGGTCTCTGAGTACCTAGTGACTTACGTGCACAGTGTGTGAAAAATTAAATCAAAAGTTGGTTTTTGACTTTGTCTGCACGAGATACATTGGTACGCGTATTATGCACCTCGTGGCGCTATTAAAGTGTTCATTTAAAAAATGTTAAAATAAATATTTGTTTTATAAAATTCTTGAGATTATGCTTTTAATGGGATTCGCCTCATTGGCTGTTTGTTTTATATTTTGGATTACGAAATTTAAAAACTCATGTCGGCCTTCGAATTAAACTGCGTTCACACACAGGCATACACATATGAAGTGTGTCGGCTTAACACTTGACGTGTGCATTGGACGCTCACCAAAAGTTAAGAGACGGCTACAGATATTTTGATCTCACTCAAGCGAGATGTATATAAAGTAGAAAGATTTGACAAACACACGTACAGTACGAAGAAGGTAATTTGATGTTGTTTTCTTATTCTTCAGGGATGAATCTTTTGAAGATGGATAGTGAGCGAAAGTGGGAAAAATTGTACTATATATAGTATGCAGAGTATTAATAATACTTAAAATTAAGGGCTTGAGCTTTCGTGTGGTACGTGGGAAACTTTGGGCATGCAAACAAAGCTGCCAGATCAAATACATTTCTTCCAAGGGTTTCGTAACAGCAAGTGCAGAATATTACCCTAAATTACAGACTTTCGTGTTTTTATTATTTAACGAGTCAATTTAAATATTACTGTTTAAGTGTTTCAGTTGCGAAACCCCAGAATATACAGTGTTAAGTGTGAAAATCTGTTTTCTTTTTCCCCTTCTGGGAGTCGACGCTTTTCTGATCTCGACCTGCCTTCTTTGCTCTCCTAAAACTGTTTTGGTTCTCCTCGTGATCGTCCAGGCAGACACTTATATAACCTTTTCAGTTGACTCGGGGTCTCGAAATAACCGAAGAATATCAAAAATGCCTATGAAGTGAAAGCAAGTCCCCTGTAGTCTACGTATAATAAGTTATCGAAAGTAATTCATGGTTAGTTTGCACGTAAAAATTAACAATTGTCTTTTGTGTTACTAAAATTCTTTTGCTGGCTTTTGTGGAATTTTTCAGTGATTTTCGGTACGAACTGAATGACTGGAGTTTAATCCCAGGTTGGGGCATTTAGAATTTCGTCTCTGTCACCTGCAGCCAGGCTTTATATCCTCTGAGAATCAAGAGGCTATTTTTCTTCACTAAAGACCGTCGGAAACCTTAAAAAAAGTATATTTATTGACAGTTCTCATTTCGAATCCGGGTTCGTGAACAGGTGTACGCGGCACCAGTCTTTTTCAGATACACGGAGGATGTTCTTATTATGGTACAGGTGAAAGTAGCTTATGAGTTTGAAGTCCTGTCTGTGTGAACGCCCTGTTAAAAGTGTGACGAGGACACCTGTACAGCAGATCCTGTTCGGACGGGTGCGTCTAGCTTTCTTTTTTTCACCTCGCATCCTGTTTTCTCTTTTTTATTTCTCTCTCCTTCTCTCTCTGTTCTAGTAAGCTTTACAGCAGCATCCTTGTGCTACTACCTTCCCGGATTTCTCTGGAACAAACCCAATTCTGTCTGCTACATACTGCAAATTTATGTTCTAACCCAAACTTCTGTCTATTTATTTTTACAATAGGCTTGTATGGGTATATTTATATTTATTTATCCAATGATCTAGATACGGATTTGAAAGGGATGAAGTGACACGATTCTGGAAGAACGTGCTAAACTTTTGTTGTAACACCTGAAGGGAGGAACCACTCAAATGATCTAGGCTAAAAAGGATAATATTAAAATGAATATTAAGGACAAAGGGTGGGAGTGTGTGGACTGGATTCATCTGGATCAGGACAGGGACCGGTGGTGATCTGTTGTAAACACGTTAATGAACATTCGGCTTCCATAAAAGGCGGGACTTATTTCTATCTAAGCGACCATCGGCTTGTTGAGG